TTTATTCTTTCCAAAGGTTTTGTTGTTTTATTAAGGGGGTGGGGTGGGGTAAAAATTAAAAAAACGGAAAATAGTCATTTTATAAGATAAAAAAATACTTTATCAATTTCATATGTTGAATTTTACATAAATTAAAACATACTGTGAGATTAAGGAGTCGTTTATCCAGTTTCATTAGTATTTGAAAATCTGATGATATGTTCAGACCGGTCCGTGTAACACTTAACAATTCAAATTTCTAAAAACGATTTAGAGTTTTAGAATGTTAATATATTAGTTCAAATATCTAACTTTCAAAAACTCAAACTGATTTGGTATATTGAAATTTAATATTTTATTTCAAAAATCTAAAATTTCAAATTTCCAAACAGGTTTAACATTTTGAGTTTTTAGATTTTTACCTTAAATATCTAAAATTAAAATTTCCAAAAACAAATTTTGTATTTTAAACTTTTGAGTTTTTTATCTACCGTTTGTTTAGAAAGTTTACGCTTAACAATCTAAAATTCTATAACATTTTTGATTATTCAAAATTTACTTCAAACTTCCAACTTTCAAACGCTATAGATTTTTAGAAATTTAGAATTTTGATTTAAAAACTCAACTTTTAAAAAAACAAAACACGTTGTACATTTTGAGTTTTTAGAATTTTACTTTAAATATCCAAAATATAAAATTCTATACCTGGTTTAAATTTTGGATATTTAAAGTAAAATTCTAAAAACTTAAAGTGTTAAGTTATTAGAAATTTGAACATTTGAATCAAAATTCCAAATTTCTAAAAATCTTAAACGTTTCAGAGTAGGATTTTAGAAGTTTGAAGCTAATTTCAAATAATTGAAAGACGAAAAATATTGCCGAACTTTAGATTGTTAAGTGTAAACTTTCTGAACAACGGTAGACTAAAAACTCAAACTATTAAATTCCATTAATCGTTTTTGGTAATTTGAACTTTGAAAATTTAAGGTAAAAATCTAAAATATTGAAATTCTAAAACCTAATTGGAAATTTGAAAATTTAGATTTTTGAACTAAAATATTGAATTTCAATATACCAAATCAGTTTGAGTTTTTGAAGGTGAGATATTTGAACTAATATATTAACATTCTAAAACTCTAAATCGTTTTAGAAACTTGAATTGTTAAGTGTTACACGGACCCAGACTGAGTGTGATTTCAATTGAAAAAATTTTATACTCCTTATTAAAGGAGTTGTACATAAGAACAATAAACTTTTTGTCAATGGTTTTTAGAATAAGTACATGTATACTTATGAGTTTTTTCTGTGCATTCAAACAAGTTTTTAAACAGATGGAAAACGTGGACGGGAATCGAGATGTTTTTATAAAAAAGGATAAAGAAGCTTTTAAAAAAATGTTTTTTAAAACAGGATAAAGAAGCACCACATTCACACATTTGGATTTTTGGGGAAAAGTTCATTTTTCGTGGTCTCTGTGTCTTCTCTCCATTTTTAAAAAACTGGTATTGTTTCTTTGAATTAAAAACACACAAATAACGTTTCAAAATCATGGAGAGAAGATCCAGAGATAATTTTTTTTTTTTGAAAAACGTGTTTAAAAATGTACCAATTTTGTACTAAATGTCTAATCTGGACAATTTTCAAGTTATTTTTTTAGCAAATCAAAGCTCAATTTCGGGAAAATATTTTCCTTTCCTGTTGAACAGGGACCAGATAAATAAAAAAAATGTTAAAATTTCATGTGACATGTCGATAAAATTTTCACTTTTCAATTACTCCCAGATTCCTGCCGAATGCCAATCAAAAACGCCCTCGTTCTTTAAAGAATCGCTGTACATCTCGGTCAAAAAGTGGCCATTTTCCCGTGCGTCAATCGTTGAACGTTCAAATTGAGCATTAAGAATATTTTAAATACGTGTTAGGATTAACTGACAAGTGAAATACTTTTCAATCATAATTTAGGGTTCCACCGTGTCTAAGAATTGTTATAGCTGCCATCTATGGCCTTAAGACTTGAATGGGCGAGGTAGAAAGTTCAAGTTATACAGCGCGCAATACTTTTCCGATCACGTGATCTTTTTTCATTGGTCAGTATAAATACATATGATGAAATTAAGAAAGATCATGGCTAACACAGTGCTTGACAATATAGCTGAATTATGTTCTGTTTATGTAACGATCCTCTAATAACATGTAACTATCTTACTTCCATCCTCAATGACCTTTCAATGTAGAGCAGAGCCGCGAGAACTGCATCGGCATCGAAAGCAGTTTTTTTTTACTTGTCTGAATAGTCGAGTGGTCTAGTGTGCTATTCCTCTACTGCTAGGAGACAAAAAAAATCCGTAGCTCGAGAGTTTAACCCCGGGCTAGGGCGGAAGTGGGTACAATTCTTATAAAATTGAATTTCTTCGTGCTTCATATACATGTATATTGAACGTTCTTTTACAGATCAGATACTTGCCTTTTTGGACTGTGAAATTTCTATGAAGACCATTGAAAATGACTTGGGCACAAATTTAATAGAAATGGCGTTGTCAAATGACTATTCATCTCAGGAAACTGTTGTTGAAAACGTTAAACTGCTGATATCAAAAGGTGCTGATCTAAAGGACCCAAGAATTGGTTCAGTGTTGATTGAGGCCTTGCTAAAGAAGAACCACAGAATAGCAGATTTTCTAATCGAAAATGGGATCAATCTGAATTATAAGGACGGAAGTGGAAACACGGTTTTACATGTCCTATGTGGTGAGTGTAGAATTTAAACTAACTCTGCTAGCTCTAAAGGAAACCAGAAAGAAAATAGGTCATACTCCTTTCCATATATCCAAAAGTATTTTTAGCTCACCTGAGCCGAAGGCTCAAGTGAGCTTTTCTGATCACATTTTGTCCGTCGTCCGTCCGTCCGTCTGTCCGTTCGTAAACTTTTCACATTTACGACTTCTTCTCAAGAACCGATGGGTCAATTTTAACCAAACTTGGTACAAAACATCCTTAGGTGAAGGGGAGTTTAAATTTTTAAATGAAGGGCCAAGTTTCCTTACAGGGGGAGATAATCAAGAAAAGACAGGGTGGGGTCATTAAAAAATCTTCTTCTCAAGAACCACTGGGCCAGGAAAGCTGAAACTTATGTGGAAGCATCCTTGGGTAGTGTAGATATTAAATTGTTAAAATCATGACCCCCGGGGGTAGGGCGGGGCCACAATAGGGAATATAAGTTTTACATAGAAATGTATAGAACAAATCTTTAAAAAAAATTTCTCAAAAACCACTGGGCCAGAAAAGCTGAAACTTATGTGGAAGCATCCTTGGGTAGTGTAGATATTAAATTGTTAAAATCATGACCCCCGGGGGTAGGGCGGGGCCACAATAGGGAATATAAGTTTTACATAGAAATGTATAGAACAAATCTTTAAAAATCTTCTCAAGAACCACTGGGCCAGGAAAGCTGAAACTTATGTGAAAGCATCCTGGGATAGTGTAGATTCTAAAGTATTAAAATCATGAAATGGGAGAGTGTAGGGGGCATAAAAGGTACAGCAAGAGGGGAAATCTGGTAAAGAACTTCATCACCCAAGTTACTCAGGTGAGCGATGTGGCCCCTGGGCCTCTTGTTTTATAAATGTTATGAATTTATGGAAAAGATGTAATATAATTAAGAATTTTTTAACAATTGTATGCTTAACCTTCGTGTTATGTGATGTTTTCTTTTGATTAAGGTTTGATCGGATGACCTGTAAAGAAATAAAGTATGAATATTATATGCGCCAATGAAAGTTTCTTTTGAACATTTTTGCTAAGGCAGCGATCACTGACCAGTATTTTGATTGGACAATTCTGAATATTTTGTGTTATAATGTCAAGTAAAACACTTTTTTCCTGCTTAAAGTTCAGTATATTTAGCAGATAAGTTAGTAAATTGAAATGTACTTTTTTTTAGATTCGCACATCAATGAAACAACTTTAGCACTAGGCAAAAAGTTATTGACTGCAATGTGTAAAGTCAACGAAGTAAACATTGCTGGTGAAACGCCATTACTAATGCTACTGAGGGGAAGTACTTGGTATTACCACAATCCAGAGAAAGATGACCTCATTAAATGTCTCCTTGACAATGGAGCTGATGTGAATGTCAAGTGTCCCAAAGATAAAAAATCGACACTGCGTTTTGCAATCGAGTGCCAGTACACGGAGTTAACAAAATTATTATTAAATGCTGGATATGACGTCAACAAAAGGGAGGCCGGTGGAGAACTGCCAATCTTTTATTGCTTCCCATTAGGTAATTATTTTCTGCTCAATTGAGAAAAAGGGCGTTTTAATTAGAAAGCTTATCTGATTCAAATTTTAAACTAGCCTATTGTTATCAATATTTTTACATTTAACAGTAGTAAACGATGCAAATAATAAATGTCTAATTTTTATTAAGAAATTGTAAACTTTTGACGATGAAATATATTGAGATAACGAATAGTATTCGAGCTGAAAAGTCCATTAAACAAGTTGCATTCTAAGATTAATTTCCGACTTAGAGCAAAAATTTACAAGGTAATAAAAGTAATTTTCTGTTCAAAAGTGTTTTACATCTCTTTATTTTTGTGCCATTAAAAAAAAAACAAATATCACCTTTGTGGTAGGAAAGGATTCATACCTGAAACTTGGAATATCAGCATCGAAAATTAATCTTATTGAAATAAACTGATTTAATTAAGTAAATTAAAACACTACAGTCAAATCAGTTTTATGTCGTTGACAGATACTTCTAAGAATACAGAACTGTTTGAGTTGATTTTGGAGGCAGAAACCTTTCCTAATTGTGTCGATAGTAAAGGCACTAGTCTTTTAGAGAGGGTTTTCCAGACATTGATCACTGAACGGAAACATGTAGGAAATGACTTCTTTGCACGTGTTGAGTTACCGAAGACGAAATTCAAAATACACGATGAAATAAAACCATTGTTTAGTCTATTGTTAAGCAAGAATGCCAATCCAAACACAGCGAAAGAAGGTGAAGACTCGTTGCTCATGAAGGCGATTACATATGAAGCTGAAGAAATCGTCCTTCTGCTAATCAAAGCTGGAGCTAGCATGACTCATATTGGAGAAAATATCTCTTCACCACTAGATGTATGTTGTAGGTTGTCAGAAAAAATAGACATCAAAGGATCCCAGGAACCAAGTAAGTGAAGTTAATCTCTCCTTTTTAACTTAATCTTATTATTATTTAGGAGAGAATACCGACATATTTTTTATCTTCAAGAAGTTTAACGACATTTATATGCAGTAAAATCTTTTTAGAGTTCTTTATTTTATTTCACGGTTTGTTTTACTGTAAAAATTGTCTAAATTGAATTGATTGTCATTTAATGATGCTTTTCCCTTATGGCTACTTTGGAACAATACGACTATTTGGTTGTACGTCATATCTTTTTTCTTGCAGTCCATATAATACCCTGTGGCAGTACGAAATAATTATCACAGTCCAAAAATTTTCAACTGTGATCAGATTGTGGGTTCAAATCCCGGCCGCGACTTATCTAAATCGATGTAAAATATGATAGCAGGTGTTTCTTCGCCAAACGCTCGACCTTTCAGTTGAAAGTTACTGGTCCTTCGGATGAGACATTAAAAGCCGATGTCCAGTGACTAGGCGGGCGTTGGCACGATAAAGATCCCAAAATGCCAATGTCCTTGCATGACTTTTCACGGGCATATTAGGATGTCTCTGTATGAGCGAAAATTTTTCGAATGGACCTGTGAAATAAACTTATTTGAAAACAATAATATTGAGTCATGATGGCAAAGTCTTGATAAATGTTGTAGTACTCGATTCTTAGATAGATATTTTTTTCAGGTCTCAGGATGAAGGATGAAGGATTGCGAATACTCAATATTTTATTGGACAACAATTTGCCCTTAGGTAATCCTAACTCGATTGGAAAATATCCTTTAGACATTGTAATGGGATTTGATAATACGGAGACTGAAATTCAGAAAATGCTGTCTATGGGTGCAGATCCAAACAAGTACGACAAAAATGAAGAGTGTCCCCTGCTAAAATCAGTTTATGGAAGTCCTTCAGTGACATTGGATTTATTAAAAGCTGGGGCAGATCCACAAACGACATCAAAAGATGGAAGAAGTGTATACGATTTATTTACTGGTTTGTTTTTAATACATGTAAATCATTTGGGCCTACAATATAAATTGGTACAAAATCTATTAGTTTAGTTAAATTTTCCAAGAAAAAATAAAAATATTTTTAATGCAAGGATACTTTTTCACTAAAATGATGAATTAAAAGAAATTTACTTTAAAATATATAAAGAATATGAAATACAAAAAAAAAAACAAATTGCTCGTCTTTATGTTACGATATTGTTCTATTGTTGTTTTGCAGAAAGAATATTTTACGACGACAGTCTATCTTGTCTTGGTAATTTTGTTATCATACCTTATTATGAAAATAATATTTATATATATTTAAAGAAATAATATAAATCTGTCCATAGGAAATGAATGTCCCGCCGAGTTTATAATAATAATGCAACATGAAAATTATTATAAGTGTATGAAATTGGATGAGATTGATAAATTGTAAGTTGTTTTACGTCCCATTCCAGAATTTTTCAATCATATAGAGACGTCACCATATATCGGTGAAGGGATTCAAATTTAAACCTTTACTCGGCTTTCAGGGCCATTGAGCAGTGAGGGATCTTTATCGTGCCAACGTCTGCAATGACACAGGCCTCGATTTTTAAGGTCTCATCCGAAAGACCCACAACTTTCACTTCAAAGTGCCGAGGGCATGGCGAAGGAACGGTTGCTTCCCATTTCTTTTTTTATTGACTAAGGTCAATTGCAGCCCACTAAGCTATCGCGAATAGTAAGTTGGATGAAAATACCTTGAATAGTTTCTTTAAAACTGAACTACGAAAAATGGATATAGGTGCTAAATTATCAACAGATTATGTTAAAGTGCATGAGCTTACTTAAAACTATCCAAAATGGTTTATTTATATATAAGAACTCAAAGATTGCATACAAACATACAAATTTTGTTTTCCAAAATTATGGAGCCAAGACCCAATATACCTTAAAAATAAGTATCGTATCTTTTCGAGAAATACTTGGTCCACTAAGTCAATGCATGGTCATATCGCAAACATGATTTAAATGCCAATTTTCATCAGGACTTGTGTAGCAAAGTGGATAGCGTGCTAGTCTCAAAAGAGAATGAAACTGAGGATATTTATTGCCAGGGTTCAAACCCAACGGATACCACATTTTTTTTATATAACAAGGCATAACTTTTAACGAAAAAAATTCCTTAAAACTTTTTGTTAATCATGATTTCATAAATATCAACAATGAGAACTTTACTCTAAATACTAAATTCAGATTTTGAATATGATTTTTATTAATCTGAAGCTAGTTATGTGCTTTCTGCAAGCTAAGTTCGGCCATCTCCTTTAAAACATAATCGTTATCGAATTTAATATATTTTTAGCGTCATACTATGATTTCGCATGTAGAAGCTAGATCCATGTATGTCTTTGCGATAAGTGGTTTGATTTTTTTAATAAAAAGATAAAAACTTTTTTAACATTCATTGCAATATTAATCTGCTTGGAACTCTTTTACGGCTAAAAATTTCATCTTGAAATTTGTAAATAAGTGAAGCTAAATTATGATTTGCAGTCGAATACGTTCTTCAACATATATATTATGTTTATATCGAGAAATTAGCTGCATATTTATCAGTAAATATTAATAAAATGTATGTGAAAACTTAGAGTTTAATCGATATTAAAATTTACATTAAAAATATTTTATCCGTAAATTTGCGAGTGACACAAAAAATCTTGATTATATTGTTTTTGTAGAATGACTGCCAAACGAGGGCATCTGTATTTCTCAGACACATTTTTGTGCTTTTAATTGAACATTTTCTAGGTCAGACAAGATGTGTTTGTGAAACACTATGTGCCCGGCGGCAACAAATCTTTTAAAAAAGCTATTTCTAGCATATATGTCACAGTCAAGGTCATTGACCTTGGTATCATTTGAAAGAAATTGATTAGTAAAGTATGGATACCAAGTATGAAGTCTCTATCTCTTGTGGTTCAAAAGTTATGGCAAACTTTCGAGAGAACTATTTTTAGCATAAAGGTCACAGTAAAGGTCACAAGGTCATTGACCTTGGTGTCATTTGAAAGAAATTAATTAGTGGAGTATGCAAACTAAATACACAGTCTCTATCTTCTATGGTTCGAAAGTTATGACAAAGGTACGAAAAAAACTATTTTTAGGATGTAGGTCACAGTAAAGGTCACAAGGTCATTGACCTTGATGTCATTTGAAAGGGTTTAATAAGTGGAGTATGCAAACCAAATATGAAGTCTCTACCTTTCATGGTTCAAAAGTAATGGCGAAGGTTAAAGTTTGCAGATAAAAAGCTATTTTTAGCATATAGGTCACAGTCAAGGTCAGAAGGCCATTGACCTTGGTGTCATTTGAAAGAGATTAATTAGTGGAGTATGTATACCAAATATGAAGTTTCTGTCTTTCATGGTTCAAAAGTTATGGTGAAGGTTAAAGTTTGCAGACAAACAGACAAACAAACAAACAAACAGACAAACAGACAGACAGGACAAAAACAATATACGCCCCGGATCTATCGATCCGGACGCATAAAAACAATATTAACTTGAAAGTCTTTACGTCTAAAAATGTATAAAAAGTATAAATGTGAACCAAAAGCAACATGTACATTTTCTTTAAACAATTTATTTTCTGAATATTACATACAAGCGTGTTTAATGTCATCAATGAATAATATAAGTATTTTTGTTAAAATGTGATCATTTTCAATATCTTTTGTTTCACTTAGGCTATAAAATTGAAATCTGGCATACATCATGATCAACATTGTTTTAATAATGCATAAATTGAAATATCTAACAAATCAGCTGTCGGCAACACCGACGACGTCAAAACGTAGCTCGCAATGTTTTTAACTTTGTTTCTCGAAACTGTGTCTCTTATAAAATTCATTTTTTTAAGCCACCAAGTTATTATCTCAAACCTTCTGGTAAAAGTAAGTCGACAAGATATTTTGAAATTACTGATATGCAATGGAAAACAATTTATAATCTTCCATTCCTGGTGACACGGGATTGTAAATTACAATGGTTTCAATACAGAGTTAATCATCATATTCTAACTACAAATAGTCTCATGTATAAAATAGGTAAATCCGACACAAAGTATTGCACTTTTTGTGAAGATGAAGAGGAAACAATTTATCATTTAATCTGGGAATGTAATGTTGTTCAGCATTTTAGAAAAAAATTCATACGTTTATGACAAGCAAAGGACATTGAATTGAATTTCAATGCGAAATCATTTATTTTTGGTGAAAAGGACAAAAATGAAAATTCTGAATACTTCAACTTCATGCTGATATTAATGAAGCATTATATTTATAAAGTTCGTTGTCAGAATACCTGCCCATCTATCCAAGGTCTTTTAAATTTATTTATTTATTATATGTTAAAGCTTTAAAACACACTTTAAAAGATGATAAAAAAAAATTGACAGATATTAATACTATCTGGCAGAAATGGGTTGTTATACTTTAATTAATTTACTTTCATTGTAATTATTATCATCAGTTTTTTTCCCCACCATTTCTTTAATGTTACTAGTAAATCCCTCAAAACTGCACTGCACTAGTCTTTCTTTAACTCCCCCCTTTCTGTTTTTTTTTTTCATATGGTAAGCTTAAAGAAAACTGAATATGTTTTAGGGAAAAGTATGTAAACTCTCTCTCTTAATAAACTTTCACACTAATTTTGCATAAGTTTTCTTGTTTGATTTTGATTGTACATATATCCATACAGAAGTTTGTAATGCTTGTAATATGTGTGAAAGTTTCAATAGATTATAATAATAATAATAATAAGTTATTTATCTCAAATACTTGTTATGAAACATATAGAGATAACGAACAATATTCAAGATCAAAGTTTATAAAACAATACTAAATAGGAGCATAGCAAACACGGACCTCCGAAACATCAGAGGTGGGATCAGGTGCCATGGAGGAGTGAGCATCCCCTGCCGAGCGGTCACACCCGCCGTGCGTTCCTTGTTATGATCGGGAAATAACGGGAGAATCCGTCGTCATATCAGTGTATAAATAATGGACTAACAATCAGTATGAAAAGTACCAAAATATTGCCGAGATTAATCATTATTTATGTTTTAATAGACAATTTCACTATCCCGATCATCAGCTTAACTGCTCGAATTGTTTAACAGTGGTTTACACGTAGTCCAATGTCTCTTCAGTTCGTCTTCATTTTAGTGGTCTATTTTCTTCTATCGAATAACCAAAGCCAACCTCACACCCCTTCAACTAGAGGTATACCTATTTCCTATATGATGTTTTTGTTTTTCAATCGTTAACATCTCTTTTCCCTATGCGCGGAGTCATATCCCACTCAACATAGCTCATCGTCGCAAACCACGGCCAAAATGTACGCTCCTCTCCCATCTGGAGAGAGCCATATATGCGGACTCCGGACCGTGGCTTGAGACGATGAACATAGTGTTGCTCAATAATTTGATGCTCAACATTACCGCCCTACGTCATCATTTTTGATCATGTCTATTTAAAGAGCTTTGGCACATATCGTCATATACTTGTCATTGATGGTGTCAAATAAACGAATTTTTAAATTTGAGTACACCAAATAACAGAGTATTTATGTAGGTAAATTTTGTGAAATTATATTTTCGTATAGCTAACAGAGAAAACTTCATTGACAATTCTATGCAAAAGTCAAAATATTGTCATGCGCCGACCACATATATTAAACATCCTTTTAATGCTGTTTTATATATATTTATATGACATCACAGACATATGATATATTGTCAAAAAACAATAAGAATATTTTCCAACAGCAAGCAAAAAATTGATATGTTGACGGTGCGACCGTTGGGGCGAGCGTAAATTGGGCGCGTCTAAGACTCTGACGTCACATGACGTCAAATGCATGTTGCTTTACGAAACCGAAACCTGAACAGGGCTGATTTTAATGAAGAACCGTTTTATTGACTATTTTTCTGCAACAAATTTATTATATCAAGGCAAGTTTATTTTATTCGTTTAACCTATGTTCTTATTCTCACGAGAACGTTGCTTTAGCTTTTGTGGTTCTAAGTGATGCATTGTGGGTCCAAATTACTGCGTCAAAAAATTCTGTCGAATGACAATCTCTCACCAGAGGGCGCGCTCCGCTGGAGCGGAACGTAAAACGCCCTCTGGTGAGTGTTGGAGCGGAGCGTAAAAACGCCTTCTGGTGAGAGATTGATCGAATGAATGTGCAGTAGTCCGAATTTTCTTTTTGCCCAGGCGTTGCTTTAAGAGCTCGCAGCGCTTCATGACGCTCGCTGTGCTTGCTATTAGTTTTAGCTATTTGTTAACTCTCCCATGCACTATATGTGTACTACTTATGATGACGTCATTCAAATATGAACTACCTAAAAACATTGAAATCTTAATCTTTTTTTAATTCCATATAGATGATGGATGCGCTGCAGAAATTCAAATGAGAGCTCTCGCAAGAAATGAACCTTCCATCTTAATGATAGAAGACACCTTTTACGATTGCACAACAGGAAGCATGATAAAATCATTTCTTAAAAAACTTAATGTAAGTGGTTTAAATTACTTTAGTAAATTTTTGATTCCCTAATTGTTTTTATATATTTGTGGACCAAGCCGCAGTAAGTTTTAGTCTACATGAACACAATTTATGAGTGTCATACCAGTAGTTTTGCTAATGGGGCGTTTCATCTTATATTTTAATTGACAATATTGACCATCGCTTTCAAATAAACAAGACTCCGAAGGCAGGAAAAACAAATTTTAGAATACGGGCGTTGTAGAATTAATGCAGCATTTTTCTTCAAAATCTGATTACTTGAAATGATAAAAGTTCACATAATTTTAAGTATGTCTATTTGGGTGTATATATTGATATATATTACAAATGCTTTGATTTAAAACTTTGCAGAAAAGGCCAGCCATTAAATTATGTGGGAAGACAATGTATGTTACTTACGAAGATAGTGTTTCATGCTGGAAAACAGTTAAATGGCTCGAAAAAGTATGTTGTTCATTACTTTTACTTGTAAGCAAATACTCATCGTATTTCATTGTACATGCTGCTTTCCTGATACATGTGAATGAGGTACTTCAAGGAATGTTAGTTTGATTTCTTGAATTATTCATCCGTTTTCTTTTGATTTCAAGCTGCTATATAAATCGATATTTATAATTAAAATTGTGAAAACCTAAATTAAAACTTCTTCAAATAGCGGTCGGGTCAGATATCAAACACTAGTCAGCTCCATCAGTTTTATACAAAATACGAAATCGAGAACATGACCACAAAAAAACGAATGGTCTTCGTGAGCATGACATTTTCCTCGATACGGATTTGAATTTAATTTTTCCTCATTTTTTTCTGAATGATATCACGACTTCCACCACAAGAAATAGCCGACCCCCTTCCCATAAATTTTGTTTCTTCGCATTTTTGTACAGTTTGGTGAATAATTTGCATTGTTTAAGTCAAATGTATCCGAAATGTTGAATTGTAACGTGTAATTGTAAATGATTTTGATGTTATATTTTCTGATCAAACTTTTTAATATAAAGCTGACGAGTGACATATATTTACATTTGTTTCGATCGATCGTTACTGTGATCTTTAATAAATAAATCAAAATAATTTTTAAATAATAGCATGTCGATGTGTAATTAACATTGAAATGAAATTTTAAACACTTTGATTATACCAGTTTTCATATCTTCCCCCTTTATTCAGTGGATCACACGTGTTTCGCCACAATTGGTTTTGTGTGACAAAATTGAAGTTAAATAAGATAAATTCCTAAATATGACAGTGTATAAAACATTGATACCGATTAAAAAAAGGATACCATACACGAGTACTTCAATTTCCCTCACAAATGAAAAAAGGAGTGGCGAAAGAACTTAATAAGTTTATAGTGAATAATAAAACGCCAGAAGTTAAACTCTCAGTATCCTACCCAAATTCAATAAGTGTGGATTGAAAATTCCTAATTTTGAAGCACTTATAAAATCTTACTTGAAGAATATATAATTGAACGATTATATAATTAGCCGATATTGTTTGAATATGCTACATGCATGTTCATCAGTGCTACAATTTTACAGAGACATGTTGGAACATGGACACACCTTAGATGGATTGATATTGATATTGAACCAAACATTTTAAAGAAACTTTATGGTTCAATGATAACATTAATAACAAGGATAAAAGGGAATCTGATACATTAGAGATATCGTGATTTTCTAAGTTATAAGAAATAATGTGAACTGTATCACTTAAGGATACCTTTTTGATTATTTATAAATGCAATCCCATATCACAGGCGAGAATAAAATATAAAGCACAAAACAAAACAAAAAGTTTTATTCAATAGATATTGGATATAATAAAATTAGTCCTTTGTCAAAAATGCCTTGTAAAGACTTTTACTGGATTGTATAAGAAAGATTAAATTAACTACCAACGTGTGTACATAAATGAAAGAAAATATTTAAAAACAGTTCCCCACCCACAGACTTGGAAATGATTTTGATGCTACCTTTCGTGTGTAATAATCTCATAACAGTTTTAGCTCACCTGAGCTGATGGCTCAAGTGAGCTTTTCTGATCGAAATTTGTCCGTTGTCTGTCGTTATCGTTGTCGTCGTATAAACCTTTTACCTTTCATCTTCTTTTCCAAAGGTACAGGGCCAATTTCAATTAAATTTGGCATAAAGTATCCTTGGGTGAAGGGAATTCAATTCAAGTTTTCCAACGGGAGATAATTACGAAATAGCGTAATATTGATGGCATCATTGAAAACTATTTTCAAGAACCAATGGGCCAGGAAAGATGAAACTCATATTGAATCATTGGCAGAAAGTGTGGATTCAAATTTGTTCAAAGCATGACCCCATGGATAGGATGGGGCCACAATTTACGATCAAAGTTTTCCATATAAAACTATAGGAAAAACCTTCAAAAAACTTCTCCTCATGAAAAACAAAGCTAGGATTGGTCATATTTATGTAAAAGTATCCTCAGGTAATATATATTCAAGTATGTTCTAATCATGACTTCTGGGGTAGGAAAGAGCTGCAATGTATATACGTTCAAAGTTTTACATAGGAATACATAGGAAAGATCTTCAAAAATCTTCTTCTCAAGAACAAGAAAGCCATGTTTGGTCATATTTATATGGAAGCATCCTCATGTTGTCTCAATTCAAGTTTGTTCAAATTATTATCCCCAGGGGGTAGGGTGGGGCCACAATTAAAGTTCAAATTTGTAGGGGAAAAAGTCAAAGTTAGTAACAAAAAACACGTAAATATCCTTAGTTAGTGTAGATTCATTTTTTTTCAAATCATCCCCAATCCCTTATCCACTAATGCATTTAAGCTTCTGAATACTAAACTGATTTGTGCTATTTTTCCTAGCCACAGTGCTCAGGTGAGCCCCAGGGCCTATTGTTTCAGTAAAAGCTAACTCAAAGATTTTTATCTCATAATAATTGTTTCAATTGAAAATTTAAACTTCACAACGATGCTTTTTATGTAAAAAGAAAGACAGTTAGACCCTAATTTTTCTACTCCATTTGTGTTGTTACATTGTAAAGCCATTTTCTAACATAAAGGAATGATTTATATATAACGGTATTCCACACAGACATTCTTAAACAAAATTGTATTTCAGGTTTGTATGAAAGAAAATGATAATTTGAATAATGCATTTTGCTTTCTAAGATTAAAATATACATTATTTGTCAGTATCTAATGTGGATTTTCTTAGAAAAGTTTTCACTCCTTTTTAATTTTTCTAAAAAGAAATTTCTTATCTAACACAGTATATTGTTCAAATAGTAGTTTACATATTTTCAATGATACTTTGTAACGAATAGATATTAAATGCATTATAATTATTATGTCAGAACTTATTGTTTTATATATTTGTTTTTCTATGTAAATATAATAAACTAGACGAGCAGTAAGTGTTGCATCTTCGTAAGTCAAATTCTCGCGATGCTGTATCTTCTCTAGATTTCGGATCGGAAACCTTATTGCTATCAAAGAAGTAAATGTTGAATAGCATTAACAAAAAATATTTATGATTATATTTATGATGATGTTTTCCCTACAGTTTATAGAGACAGGGGACGTTAGAATTGACGCCAAAGAGGATCAAAATCGTACGTATTATTTATTTAAATACGTAAGTTTTCAATTCGCCAAAAAAATTACAAATTCATGGAAATGGAAATTATACTTTATAATAATCCTAGTTTTGAAATATCTAATTTGAATTTAACTTTTCCAGATTGGTTGAATATAAAGCAGAAATTAAACAGGCGAAAGTGAGTATTTTATCTGATGTTTATTTTATTTTCTGGATGTTTTGAATACTCAGTCATGAAATTGTAAGGTAGATATTGAAAAATGCAACATGTAGGTTTTTTTATTGACATACTAGTACCTTGTTTGATGGCATACGACAGTTTAGAACATTTTGTGTATTTTGTTTGAATCTTATGATGTTTATCAGGGGGGTCAACTTCGAATAAATGTATACTGTACCTTGTGAAAGATTACAGGGTTTGAATTCTTATTCTAATATGGTTGACCTGTTTTTCCTATGTAAATGCAATCCCATTCTTATGCTTGTGGTCAGATTGTGCAATATTTTGCCTATGATGTGTTATACTTTTTTTTGATTGCACTTTTTAATCCCTATTTTGTTGACTGTGTTTTAATTTTTCAGCCATTTTCTTTGATAAATGACATATATTTCACTTCTTCATTATATTATTTGTTTTTACTGCTTTTGACAAAGAAAGCGTGCAACAATGAAAGACGCCAGGTTAACTATAAGCTGAATAACGAAAACATTACCAAATACACCCATAGCTAATTTACATATAAAATTCCCTTACGTCGCGGGTTCAAATCCCACTGTTCTCCACATGAATAAAAAATTATCGAAGGGGACGTTAAAAAATATATAATCAATCAATACATACATATAAAATTCAGATAGAGTATGCTTCACAATGTTTTTGATTTCCGACTAAAAGAATTTAGGATTTAGATGCACTTCCTTTTCCAGATGTTTATCAAAAGGTAAGCAAAATTGCACTCAAAACTGATCTCTCTCTCTCTCTTTCTCTCTCTCTCTCATACTTTAAATTACTGTAGATAAAAAAAATGGATTTACTTCATGTATATTGATAACTTTGACACTTGTATTAACTCTTTTGATTACTATTAAACTACAGTAATAATGACACTCTAGTGGTAACCATAACACTTCAGATATAACTTCGAATTCTTTAGGGTTTTTATTGTAATAATTTTGACACTTTGTTTAACAATAATTTACTTTAATAGTAAAATGTTGGGGGGAGGGGGGGTGTGTTGTCTTCAGCGTTAATATAAGTATGTTTTTGGGTTGTTGTTTTTTTCAACTTTTATGTTTTTCATTAGAAACAGTTTAATTAACTAAAAGTGATTTTTTATTTAACATTTTTTTCTTGGAAATCTTTAAAATTATCTTTAAGGGTCATCATATTGTAGAGGACAATGTTCAGGAAGAACAGACTTCAATTGGTTGAGAAGTTGTAAAAATCCTAATACAAACAGTGGGAATAGATGTCAACAGTAAAACATTCAATGGACTACTTCCTCTTTGCGTAGCCGTGAGATTGGGCAGCCTTCCTTTGCTAAATTTTCTACTTGGAAAAAAAGCTGATCCAAACATATTGGACGATATGGATGAAACCCCATTATCACTGGCTCTCATCCATGGTGACATGGATATTGTGAAAGCGTTGGTGGAAGCCAATTCTAACGTAAACCATATAGGTTTTCTTCCAGGTAATATTTTTTGTCTCTTTTCAAATTTTTTTAGCTCACCTGAGCCGAAGGCTCAAGTGAGCTTTTCTGGTCATATTTTGTCCGTCGTCCACCCGTCCGTCAGTCTGTCCGTCTGTAAACTTTTCACATTTTTGAATTCTTCTCAAGACCCACTGAGTCAATTTTAACCAAACTTAGACAGAGTATCCTTGGGGGAAGGGGAGTTGAAATTGTGAAAATAAAGGGCCAAGTCCCATCACAAGGGGATATAATAAAGAAAAGACAACGATAGGATGGTGTCATTAAAAAAATTCTTCTCAGAACTGGTGAAGAAAAGCTGAAAATTATGTGTAATTATCCTGAGGTAGGGTAGATTCGAAATAATAAAAATTAGGACCCCCGTGGGTAGGACAGGTCCACAATAGGGAATTAAAGTTTTGCATTGAAACATATAGAAAAAAATCTTTAAAAATCTTTCTGAAAAACCACTAGGCCAGAAAAGCTGAAACTTATGTGGAATCATCCTGAGGTAGTGTACATTCTACATTGTTCAAATAATGACCCTCGGGGATAGGGCAGGGCAATTGTAGGGCCGCATGGGGTAGGGCGGAGCCACAATTTGGAATCCAATTTTTGTTGAAATATTGAGGAACAATCTTTAAAAAAAAGTCTCAAGAACCACTGGACCAGAAAAGTTGAAACTTGTGTAGAATCATCCTGAGGTAGGGTAAATTCTAAATTGTTAAACTCACGACCCCGGAAGTAGGACAGGGCAACAATAGGTAATCCAAGTTTAACATTGAAATTTATAGGAATTTTTTAATCTTCTCAGGAACCACTGGGCCAGGAAAGCTGAAACATATGTGAAAGCATCCAAGGGTAGTGTAAATTCCAAAATATTAAAATCATGACCCCAGGGTGTAGGGCAGAGCAACAATAAGGAACCCTGTTTCACATTAAAATTTACACAAAATATAATTAAAAATCTTCTTCTCAAGAATCACTGGGCCTTAATAGCTGAAACCTAGGTGAAAGCATCCTGGGGTGGTGAAATTCTAAATTGTTCAAATCATGGCCCCTGCGGGTAGGGCAGGGCCACAATAGGTAATACAAGATATAACAAGGTAAAGAACAGCATGGTCAAAGCTTCTCAGGTGAGCGATGTCGCCCATGGGCCTTTTGTTTAAAGTCATGGTAATTTTTTAAGCAGGCATCAGGCCATTGCAATTTGCTGCTAGACAAGAGAAAAAGTTTTATATAATTCCCATCCAAAGAAAAAGATTATTTGTATGGATATTATGCTGAAAATACCATGCCCGTACAAGTATATCAATAGTACTTTCTTGTGTGAAGAAAATTATATTTAAATGAAAAATGAGTAATTTAGAAAGATTTTAAGTTTATCAGCTTTGCCAAATTTTTTAACAGTTTTGATATATATTTTACAGGAAACAGTTCTGAACAGAAAGAATCCTTGCTAAGCAGGTTTTTGGATAAAAAAGGATCTTGTGCAAGTTTAGAACAAAGGACATTACTTGTGAACTTTCTCATTAAAAATGGCGCAAGTGTAAATCTTGACAAAAAGGGCGTAGATTCTCCCTTGATCAAAGCTGTAAAACTTGCATTTTTTTCATTCTCACAGAAGAAAGCACAAGACGTGGGTCTTTCTTTGTCAGCTTTAGATTTAGTAGCAGAGCTCCTGAAACTTGGATCAAATATTAACCACGGAGGCAAAAATTTGATGACAGCTCTACATGTTTATTGCAAGCAAAAAGGGGGTAACATAACATTTCTAAAGTTAGAGAGTATATGTTATGGTAACGTTTTTGCCTTCAATTTTTATGATTCGTGGCATTCCGATCACTATCCCTGAAATGAACATAAATGAATATTTTTTTCAGCTTCCTTCTTCTGAACAAATTCGACAAAGTTCATTTCTGTAGCATCGAAATGAAGAATTCTTTATTGTTGAATATTAAGTTGCCTGACTGTTGGCATGACTATAATATGTATGAAATATGTGGAGATAACAAACAGTATTCAAACTTAAAAGTCTTTAGCAGGGCAAACACGGACCTCCAAAACATCAGAGGTGGGATCAGGTGTCTTGGAGGAGTGAGCATCCCCTGCTGTCCGATCACACCCGCCATGTGCTTCTTGTCATGATCGGGAATTAACGGAAAAATCCTTCCTCAATTCAGTGTATAAATAATGGACTAACAATCAGTATGAAAAACGTCGGTCAGCATATTACTCAATGATAAATTGTATTTGCTGATATATTTCAACTTGTTAAAAATTAAACAACAGCTTATATATATATATATATATATATATATATATATATATATATATATATATATATATATATATATATATATATATATATATATATATATATATATATATATATATATATATATATATTGCTAAAATTGAAGTAGTCTCGCAACAAACAATGACCGTTACATCTTTGTATCTATTTAATTCAGGTTCTATTTTCACCAGTGAGGAGGAGGATGACGACGAAGACGAAGGTGACAGCGAAACTGGAAACGTTGATGAAGCAAACAATCCTCTTTACAAAATTTTTAAGTTACTGTTAAATTCGGGGGCTTCAGTAAATGTCCAGGCGAAAAGTGGAGCGACACCTGTGCACATTGGGCTCAGACGTAGATGTATCCCCGAAGTTTTAGATATGTTAAATGAAAATTTTGAAGCAAACACCAAGGATGCGTCAGGTGTTACATGTCTTATGCTTGCTTGGAAATACGGCGAAGAACAGATTATCAAGGCACTACTTAAATGTGGAGCAGATGTAAACTTGGAAGACGAAAGTAGCAATACGGCATTGCATTACTTATGTATGTATTAACATTTTGTCACAATATGTTACATTTTTAATGTACTAGATCTTCGAAGTCATCCTAAAAATTGACATTTGCCGTCAGGACGATCTGCATATTTAGAACGCCATATTTTATAAGCATGCTAACCTTCTTGACGGTTTAAATGTGATGATGACAGAATGTGAAGTTCAAAGAAAAACTTTTCCAAGATCCAGAATGTTTCTAGCAATTAATTTTTTACAGAAAAAAAAATCAGCTCAAAAAATTTACAGCAAGCGTGATTTTACAAAAAAAATATATATCCGGTATATACTCAGGCAACACACTTTGTTCAAGGGAGGATTCAATCACACTTTATTTTGTTTATCGATACACGTGAAGTATATCAAATTTCTTGTCTGCATTGAGCTGCAATGGATTTATACTTTATGGGTATAAAGATGATCAACAATATGTATGCTGTATTCTTCCTGTACTTATCTGTGTTTTAAGGAGGAACGTATATAGTTAGTCCTAATATCGTTTTTGCTAAATATATCGTACATGTATTTACAATTACAAAAACTCATAATTATGCCCCCGTTAACGAAGTTTCGGGGGAATATAGTTATTGTCGTGTCCGTCCGTCTGTATGTCTGTCTCTGTCTGTCTGTTAGATTCCAGAACCCTCTCAATTAGTCAAAGACTTTAGTGAAGGTTTCATATTTGTAAGGTTTACGGTTTCGAAGTAGTAGCGATAACAAGGTTTACCGCACAAGGTCAGTAACTTTTAATAGGTCAATCTTAGCAATGATAGTTTTTTCCCGATTATGACAAGGAGCACACGGCAGGTGTGACCGGTCAGCAGGGGATGCTTAATCCTCCAGGGCACCTGATCCCACCTCCAATGTTTTGGAGGTCCGTGTTTGCTCTGCTCCTATTTTGTATTGTTTTATGGACTTTTTATCTTGAATACTGTTCGTTGTCTCCATATGTTTCATGATTATTCACTAGTATGCAGTATACAACAATTACATGTGGACAGACAAAGCAAGTTTTACTTCGTATAATGATGATATTGATTGCTACATAGTCCAACAGTAGCAGAGTAGCCTTACTAATTCCATTCTCTAAATGTCCTTATACGTATTTAAAACCCCATTCGGTCAAATCACAACAATTATAATGCACCCTTTTTTTAGGACAGAAAACAGCCTTTGACTGACCAAACGTGTTGCTGCTGACTTCAAATTCCGTACTGGTAAACAATGATTCAATGTGAAAGACCAGTTTTTTCGGGGTATTGAACGAATTCTGAGTTTCATATGCAAATTAGTATTGATTTCATTGAAATTAAACATCCAATCGATGAGTAAAATGATTATGAACACAAAAATTTAGCACTCACCATCAAGCAAACTGTCACGCTGTTATTATAATGATAATAAATACCTCTTCTTCTTATGTCACTATTAACTCATTCTTAAGCGAAAATCCAATTCATGGACAAATGTGTAAACAAGTTCCTTAAGCATAACTCATCGGCAACTCTTTACTAGCATTCGTTAACATAAAAGTTAAGTCAAAACTTGCATTGTAAAGGGCATTTTAAAGTTGTTAATAATTGTAAAAATTTGAATTAAGGAATATTATGGTAACAAGCAATAATAAGTAACAACTAATTCATTTTTTTCATGGTTGCAGGGGATCTCGGAATTTGTCCTAGACATTTATAATATCGAAGAAAATGCATTTTTTCTAAGGAAAGTACATCATAAAAATATACTGTATACAGGGAATTTTTCGCCCCATTTTATTTTCGCCCTATCCTCCTTTGGGCTAATTTAAAACGGGGCGAATTTAAAGAATGCAGTGTTATTTCTTTAACAAAACAGAACAAAACTGTTTTCAAGTATGAAAGGGCGAAAATGACAAGGGGCGAAAATATCCCTGTATACAGTAGCTTCATTTTTATGCCCGATTCCGGGGTATGTAGTTTTGCCCTGTCTCTCCGTGTGTCCGTCTGTCTGTCTGTTTGTTTGTCCGCAAAAACTTTAACCTTGCCCATAACGTTTGACTGGGAAGGGCTTTAATATTTCACAGGTTTATTCGTTGTGACAAGACCTTTCTTTAAGTACCATCAAATTTGACTTTTTGAACTTGACAGTTGAGATTGACACACTTTTTCACCAAAATTCCAAACTTTTACCTTGGCCATAACTTTTGAAGGGTTGATGCTATGACTTTCATACTACATAATGCATACTTCACGTATGTATTCTTTGTGACAAGACCTTCCATTGGGTATTTTGACCTTTTGAACTTGTTTTATGTCAAAATTGAATGGATTTTAATTTTCAAAAATATGTTGAGTTTTCTGTGTTTAACTGATTGAATTTTTTTTAGGCAAAACTGGCCAAAACATGGAAATCCTCGATACTCTCGTGCAAGGTGGATCCCATATAAATGCTGTTAATAAAGATGGATACAGCCCATTGAATATCTATGTCAAAGAAGCTCAACGTCTGGAAAAAGAAATTGTCATTGATCTGTTATCCAAAGGCGCGGATCCTAATTGCTGTCCAGGAGGATGTGAATCCCCTCTAACTAATGCATTGAACAGAGTCGAATATGAAACAGCAAAAGTCCTTTTGAAAGCTGGAGCGCTTGTAAATTATATTAGCAGATCTGGTATCTCACCGCTTTCCATGGCAGTCTCAAAAACGAAAGGTACAAAATTTAAGATCTTAATTACGGTCTTCCGTCTCCAACGGAAGACCTTATTGTTTTCGTTCGGTTTCTTTTTCCCTATTATTATTTTTTTTCTTACCGATTTTTGTGCACGCGAGTTCTCGGAAACGGCTCCCTCGATTTTCACGAAACTTTCAGATCTGAAAGATATTGATCTGAACCTTATTGGAAATTGTTTATAAGTACGACGTCACTTCTGGTCGTGAGATATGGACGATTTTCTGATTTTAAGAGGGTCGGCTTGTCCAGATAACTCCCCCTAAACGACTTAAGATATTGAGACAAGATTATCAGTGAAAGTAAAGGAAGGTTTGCTGAGTTGCATATGGGTGTCCAAATTTTTCTAGCGCAAAAGGTAATGGAGCTCGGTCGGGCCAAAAAAATGTCCCAGAAACATCTCACAAAATTTGACACCTTTTGTTTCATATCGTCTTACCTGTTCATAATTTTTAAAACATATTGAAGAGAAGTTGTGCAGAATGTTAAGAGCTTTTATATTATACCAAGAAAAAGGGGCTGATTCCTCAAATTAGGGTCTCAGAAGGACCAAAATTCCTTTATTGATATCTCTTTAATGAACAATATTTTGTTATAAATTACTGAAGCAAAAATGTTTATCTTTAAGATCTGCAACAATATATTGTACAATTGTGATCATTGTTACGTAATTAGGGGCCATAAGGGACCAAAATGCTAAATCTTTGATTCTTTATATCTCCAAAGGGAGAAATATTTTGATAAGCAGTACTGAATAAAAGATGTTCAGAATCGTATTATAAAAAATATACAACCATTTAATTTTCGAAAAAAGGCCCCATTAAGGACTTGAAGGGCTGACCCCTAAATATTTCTATCCTGCACAGCTCGAAAACGAGAAGAAATTCTGAAAAGTTTTTTGAACAAAAAGTCTTTAAAATCCAGAGCCTCATCATTTCATATGAAGAAAAAGGGGCTGACCCATCAAATAAAGGGCCTAGAGGGGCCAACAGACTTTCATCTACAGCCGTTTGATGATATATAAATCAAACAAAATAAATCAAACTAGAAACGATCTCGTTGCGAGCAACGAGTAGGTCTTCCGTCCGATTCCGAAAAATAACCCATAAAATCGAGCTGAAAAATGGATTAAACATATTTTGGACACACTGGTAATTGAAACGGGTTCACTAGCGTGAAAATCCGATACGCTTATCGATTACGCTATTTGAACAACTACTCTTACTTCACTTGTATGTACATATAATTCTGCAACAGTTAATCTGTCTTAGAATTATGAAAGGAGGGTCACTATTCATAATTTCGCGCCAAACGCAACGAGTAAATCTTAGCGAATTTCTCTTGGAATGTTCATTTAAATAGGTGAGATAGCTTCAATCAAATAACAAAATAGCGTTCTTATCGCCTAAATTTTGAGGTGTGGAAAGTATATTTAACACATACATGTTACATATCGTATATAGGCAAATAACACTAAAGCAGTGAAACAGCTATGAATGGTTAATTTTTCAATTTTCAATCACGAAAGTTGACCATTACGATTACTTACACTGTCATGAAAAAGGTGGTATGTTTCACCGAAAAAAAAATGCCTCGATCGCCCTACGAGGGTCAAGGAATAAGATTCCATTATGTTCAATAACTTGCATTGAGAAAATAAAATGTTTATATAGGTCAATTAAACGGTCTTTGAAAAATTGTTATCTTTAAAAATAAAATGTTTTCTTATTGTAACAGTTGTCCTTTGTATTAATTTAATATGACACAAGTGTGCATGAGAAAACAGTGGTCACATTTTGTAATTACTACATGTATATATATATTGTTTCTTGAAAAACTATTAATTATAACTATGATTTAAGCTATGTTACCGTGATGCAAAACAAAAGATGTAGATATTGTACTTCATTTGCACATTAATTCTTTTCTATTTCTACTTTGAGAAACAACCAAAACCAATTAAAGAAGACTTGTAAGGAGACCTTGGATTATAAATGTAGTTTGACACAGAATTGCAACGAACCTACGACGTGACAATCCAAGTATCCCTACACATTTCATTGCTCCTTATGTTACTTTCGTTCAAGCAAACGCTCGGCTGCCTCTGTAAACCCCTATTGCGAAATGTCGGAATTGACAGAGACCGCCGCCATTTTGGTCCCGCTTCAGATTTTTGAATGTTAATATCTCGAGTTTGAATTTATCAATTTACAAACAAATTATATATTCAGCATAATAAGAAATGTTTCTATCAACCATACTAATATAATTTGAAAATATTGAAAAACAAAAAAGTTTTAAAAATTCGACTTTTTAAATTTGCATGCCGTTACGACAGGAAGTAGAGACGACGTACAAAAGATCGCGTCTTGGATAGTACTTATCACGATCTATAATCCCTGAAAGTTTCACAGTGATATCTTTTACCGTTCTTTAGATTATCCGCGAACAAAATATCATTTTAAAATCAGAAAATTGTCCGTAACTTGGCACCAGAAAGGAATTTCCAAAAAATCTCCAGGATATAATAACTTCAGATAGCAACACATTGTTCCTGCAAATTTAATAAAAATCCATCTAGTAGTCTTCGAGAAATCAAGTGCACAAAATTTGATGGTCAGAAAAATAATAATTATAACGAGCTCAGGCGAGCTTCAACGCCTTTTGCGCTGGAAAGACATAGACTCAAAAAAGCAATTTAGCAATCCTTCCTCAACCTTCACTGAAAATCTCAAGTCAATATCTTAATTCGTTTTTAGTGATTGCCAGGACAAGCTGACCCTCTTAAAATCAGTAAATCGTCCATATCTCACGACCGGAAGTGACGACGTACTTATAAAAAATTTCCAATAAGGTTCAGACCAATATCTATCAGATCTGAAAGTTTCGTGAAAATCGACCGAGTCGTTTCCGAGAACTCGCGTGCACAAAAATCGGTAAGAAAAAAAAATAATAATAACTAGAGCAAAGCTCGTTGCAAAGCAACGAGTAGGTCTTCCGTCATGTTTGACCGGAAGTGGCTTTCATTTTTAACAAAAATGAGAAATAACGTCCAAAAATTGTTTGATTCCTCTAAATTCATGTTAATTATTGCAAAAATAAGCCATTTTCTGTTACTTCCGGTTTGACCGGAAGTGACGACGACGGACGGAAAATTAATTTTAATGCTCCCAGAGACATGTGTTACCAAAAAACTTGTCAAGAACGACAAAAATACGCGTTTTCCGACTACTTCCGGTTTGGCCGGAAGTGACGACGCCGGACGTATTTTGACGACTTCAATAGATTAAGCTTGACATTTTATACAACTTTGCTTCTTTGACGTATCACAAATTCTCAATACTTTTTGAGATATAAAGGAAAATCTTTCGGCCCCACCAGGCCCCTGATTTAAGGGGCCAGCCCTTTTTTCGAGATGTCATTTGAAAGATCTTTAAATTCTACACCATTTTTGTTCTACATGCTTTAGCAAAATATTTCTAGGTAAAAAGTTATCGTTGAAAAGGTGCTTAAAATTTTGAAATTCTTGATAGGACTATTTTCGGGCCATAGCGAGCGTCGGCGCTTCGTACTTCCGGTAGTTGTGATATACTTAGTGCACTTCTCCAAAAGTTGCTCTAGCATCACTGAAAATTTCAAGCTTCTGTGTTAAGTGCTTTTTGAGAAAACTGCCGGACAAAGTGACCCTCTAAAAATCACTAAATCGCAGAAAACTCCGAACCGGAAGTGACGTCATCGAAATAAAAAAAGTATATATCTAGATTTTTTGATGTTCTATCAGACCTGAAAGTTTCATGAACATCGATCGAGCTGTTCTCGAGAAATCGCGCGTACAAAATCGGTAAGAAAAAAAAACAATAATAACTAGACCTTATTTTTGTCGTTCAACAAAAACGGAGGGCTTTTCGACCCTTTAAAATAAGTAATCTTAAAAGAAAAATCAATATTTTACAATAAAAAAATCTTGTAATACAATATCAATATTTGATTGGAAACACAACAATTCTATTTGTGCATCAGTGTCTCCTCAAAGAGACATAACTCTTTTGTGGTTAATAAAAAGATAGGAAAATGTACTGTTTTTTAATCCACAAAAACTCCTATAAGGGGTCAAAAAGTGACCCCACGGACAATAATTGTTAAAGTGTACTCCTTATGCATGATGTAATTTCAAAATGAGTTTGAAGATTGGTTGAGTACTAAAAATGTTACAGAGAAAAAGCTGTTTTCTGTACTGACTCCTAAAATCCTTTGTATTTTAGGAATTTTTATTTTCATGACCTTTGCATCTGGAGACAATGCTAGAGTCAGTATTCATATGAAATTTCACAAGAATTGCTTGCCTATCTTTTGAGATAAGGGAACAATCAAGATTTCAAATTTAACATAGAAATCTTCATAGGCAATTTTAAGGTACTTATAAAACCGGAAGTACACCTCATATGCATACAAAAATTGAAATATAGAGAGAATATTAGACTCCAAACAGGTTGACAAAGGGAGATAACTCTTGCACAATTATTTTTGAAAATACTTGAAAATACAATATTTCAGGTCTCTAAAAGTCCTTTAAGGGGTCAAAAAGTGACCCCACGGACAATAATTTTTAAATTGCCCTTTTTATGCTTAACTCAAAACAGAAATCAGTTTGAAGATCTATGGACAAATAAAAAAGCAATATACAAAAAAGTAATTTCTGTACTGACCCCTAAAATCCCTTTTATTTTAGGAAATTTTATGTTCATGATCTTAATATTGAAAGGCAATGCTAGAGTCAGTATTTATGTGAAATATCATGAGACTTGCTTGCTTCCCATTTAAAATAATGGACATTAAATGATTTCAAATTTAACATAGAAATCTCCATAGGCAATTTTAAGGTACTTATAAAACCGGAAGTACTCTACATATCCATACAAAAATTGAAAAATAGAGAGCATATTAGACTCCAAACAGTTTGCCAAAGGGAGATAACTCTTGCT